TCTGGGGCTTCGACTCCTTTTGGTCCTCCAAAACTGCAATACTAGCAGGCAAAAAGAATATCAAACTTACCAATAAGAAAAAATCTCATAACAGGCGAGTTACCAAAGCCAAGACACTAGGAGATAAATCTCTTAGTGTTGATTCTTAAATCCCAGAAAATTCTGCTTTGAATTTCCTGGAATTCTGTATAACTGGATTCTGTGCTGACTATTCTTCTTGAAGCTTCTGCCTTTATATTTTCTTGATACTATAGTTGTAAAGAGAGTCTTATTTTGTTCGATATGATTGGAGATAATTTCTTCTTCCATCTTGTTTAGGTTTGTTATTAATTCGTTAGTTTTAAAATTCGCAGTTGTAGAAATAGATGAAGAATCAAATTCCATGTTGCTATTAGAGCTTTTGCTAAGATTTGAAATTTCTTCTGATATTGCAGTTAGAACCTGGATTGTGACTTCTTCCTTGTTCTGGATTACTTTTTCTATATCATTCTTGTATAGGTTATCTGAACTGAAGTTATTTTCTGTATTCTCTGGTTTTTGAGTTTTTTCTTCTTTCATATCATTTTTATATAGGTTGTTAAAGCTAAAATTAATTTTTGTAGCCTCTAATTTTTGAGTTTTTTCTTTTTCTAATCGAGACTTGGCCTCTCTAAGAAGGCATCTAGATTCTATTGAAGTTTTAAGCTCTTCATAGTCTTTTTTTGACATGTTCTTCTTTTTCACAATAAAAGCAGATTTTAGAAGCTTCTTTTCATTCTGTTGTTACTTTATGATTACTAACATAAGTAGTTCTAGAGATTCTTGAAGCAATTTCTGAATCATCAGTAGTTTCAAAGGTGATTAACCATTGATCTGAGCAGACTGTAGTTCCTTCATAGAAGAGAGGTTTAATAGAAGCAATTTGACCAACATCCTGAAAGGCTTCTAAGATATGGTTGCTAATATATTTGGTTTTGCCCATAGGGGTGTTCTTTACTTTTACAGTTAAAAAAGATCGATTGAGATTAACTAGAATATATCTGAACAGAGTCTGCTTGAAGAAAAAAATACTTTCAGCTACATAGTATTGTTCTTTTTATTTATCTTTTAGGATAAGTTTCAGATAGGTTATTTTTCCTCTTAAAGTATAGGTCTTTGCTGCTATGAGATCTTCTTTTAAACTCATGGCTAGAGCTACAATGATGTTATTGATTGGTATGTTGTTTAAGTTTTGAATGTCTACTACTAGTGCATTTTCGTTCTTAGAGTGATTCTTTGTCTAGAGGTGGGTTTAGTATAGACTGCTTTTCCTCTCCTTAGTTTTGCAAATAAATCAGACCACTGTTTGGGTTTGAATCCTTTATTTTGATTGCCTTGTGACTCAGATGTGTAAGACAAGGGGATGGTCCAACTGGAGTAGTTAGATGTACAGAAGCTGATTGATTGTTTGTAGCTATGTATTCCTTTTGTTTACTGTTTACATATTTCTCTTGTTTATTGTTTACAGTATTTACGTGATTTGTTGTGTTTCTTGTTGACTGCAAGAGTTTTTGTTTTCATTCTTTTTTGTAGTTGTTTCTTCTTTTTCAACTTGGTTTGTCTAGTTTGTGTTAGACTTCTTGAGAGTCAAGTCTGTTAACACATTTGTCTCTTGTTTAGTAATATTATTATTACTGTTATTGCTGTAGTTGCCAAGTTTCTTGCTGTTTTTCTTATTTTCATCAGTTTTTGAGTACCGATTTCAATCTTTACTAGAAAAGTATCCAAGTGCCAACAAATATTTGAGTCATCCTATTTATTCAACACAGCAATCATGGGCTAAATCATTTATAAGTAGAATATTTATGGCAGGTATGCAATCTACCTCACGTGTTGAATCAATTAACGCTATTATTCATAAAGCAGTTGCTTCTAGCTCTAGTATGTCAGACATAGTTGAAGCTTTAGAGCTTCATATGCAAAGGGAAGAATTAAATAAAAGTTTTATGGAATGGAAGCACAAATCAATAAGTAATCATCAATCATTTATCATTGAGTGGCTTTTTAGTAATATTAATAATGTAATTCGAAAGTACTTCACATCACGAATTGCTGAAGAAATTAACAAACAAATGTGTGAATCAGTACTATACAAATGTGAAAAGTTGGATATTGATCATGCTCTTGAAGATCAATTATATTCGGATGAAAATGAACTAATTAATAGTCAGAAGGCAAGTTTTTTTTTTTTTTTTTTTTTTTGTGCATTACAATTAGTTATAATGTAAGGATTTCTATATGTACTAGGATCAGAGTCACGAAGAAATAACAGAAAACATTGAAGATTTTTATGATTATCGGCAAATGTGTTTAAAAGAACTTTTAAAATCAGTCTCAAAAGAGGCAATTAAAGAAGTCTGGAAGGTTATTCCATATATGGCATCAAATTCATATCAGTATATTGTTATGCTTAATGACGGTACACATTTGTGCACATGTCTATTGTTAGTTTCACACGGAGTTATTTGCCGCCACTATTTCAAGTTAATGGTAGAGAATGCAAATGCATTATTTCATGTTATGTTAATGCCAACAAGATGGTTGGTTACATGATGATGCTTGGAGATGTATTGATTCAATATATGATGAGCCATTTATTAGCACATCATCTCTGCAACATCAAGGTGATAATAACACACAAAAACTTATTTCCAGGCATTATTATAACATTCAAGAAGTTCAGGTCCAAAACCGTCTACAAAAAAAAATAGATTATAGTCGTTTAATAGATCATTTTAAGAAAGCATTAAGCTACTCATTGGAAAATGATGATCAAAATGCTTTGGATGAACTTATCTTAGACTACATTGCTAAAAAAGAAGAAATTCGAAATGTTCAAACTCAACTAGTGTCTGTTGAAGAAAGTCAAGCTTATGATGATATTAAAGATCCAGTAGTGCGCAGGGGTAAAGGTAGACGTCCAAATAAATGGTTGAAAGCTTTTAATGAAGAAACAAATAAGATTAGTAGTAATAAAAAACAACAGGATACTGCTGATAGTGATGGTGAAACTAGACGTAGATGTAGATTATGTCATAAATCAGGACATTATACTCCTAAATGCCCTAATAAGGAAAATGCAATGTAAATAAATTTATTTGTATTGTCGGTATTGTGCCTAAATTGCAAATTTGAAATGTTTTTTACCTAGAGGAATTTAGTTTGACATATGCGTAAGTTGCTTAGTTAATTAGAAGTCTACTGTAATGGCTAGGCTGTTAATTTTTTATTTGACTGTCCAATCCAAAGATAGGCATCATGCATCTATCGGTGCATGGTGCTTAATTGTTACATAATTAATCTTATGGAAATGACCAATGTTATAATATGTGACAATTAAGCACCATATACCGGTAAGGCGCATGATGCCAATTATACGTATAATTTACTTGAAAGACTAATTCAAACATGTTGTAATATAAGTCGTTCTTAGATCTTCTTCACTGAATCTTAAATATTGACTATTGTTATTAACAATCTATTTAACTTTAAGCGGCCTAATGTTAAACAAACTGCTCTTGACTTGTATTATTTATTATGGTCTTACTATAATTGAACTTTCCTAATTAAGAATCGAATTCTACTTCTATTGTAGTACTGAAAATAGTTTACTATATCATATTTACTGTGGTATCAAAAATAGTGGTTATAATGACTATCATAATTAGCAAAATAAAATGTAATATAAAGGAACTCAGAGCTTGAGGAGCTCAAACTGGTTATAGAGAATCTAAACCTCAAGCTGCAAGAAGAACTTACTTCTCTATCTGATAAATGGCAACTAAGGTCCAATGCCAAATGGATCAAAGAAGGTAAAAAATCTACCAAGTACTTTTTTGCACTATACAAAAAAAGGAACTCAGGCACTTGTAGTTCCAAGATTCGAATTCCT